GGAACAGATGTTTACAGAACAGGGAGATGGAGGCGATTCTGCAGTGTTGGAGGAAGGGATGTTGAGTCCCACACATGTGGGGGTGCCCCATTTGGATTGTTCTGGGGACCTAGAACCTGGGGAGGAAGATGTTGCCAGCTTGACGCAAGGGTTTCGTAGGTCAATGAGGAAGACTGCTGGACAGCACTCAAACCCATTTAAATTGCCACAATCCATTATAAAATGAGCAAAATTTTAAGTGTGCTCTCTTTTCAGCTCATCGTCGGGTCGCCGATGCCCTTTGAAGGGGAGGGTTGTAACAAGTGTCACCTGGCAGTTTGTTGCTCGCTGCCAGGTGATTGGCTGAAGAGCTGTGAAAAGGTAGTGGGTGTGTGGGGTGAAGTCAGCGCTCTTCTGTGGAAAAAACCAGAGGCAATTAATTCACTCAGGTGCGAGTGGGTATACTGTCGTGTGACCACGAATTTTAATAGAAGAATTGATCAAGCCCTAGATCGACTGCGCGCAGGGAAACTGATCAATATTCTGTGCTGTCTCTGCTGTCCTTTTTTGTGTTCTTTTGATTGATTTGTAATTTTGTTTTGGTTAGTCCGTCCAGCCGTAGAGGCGGTTATTGATTGAGAGTAAGTTTTGTAAGGGCGGACTAACCTCTCTTTTGTTTTTTTTATTTTAATTGTTTGTGCCACTTCCCTTTATCTCTCAGATCACAGGCCATACATAGCACTGATTCCCAGCTGCGCTGAGACCCGAATTGTTTGCAGTGTGTGCCACGATTGCAGTGTCACTAAGCGGGGTGTGACGGGTTGTAGTGTTATTTCGCACAGTTTGTGTGGTACGTCTCATGCGCAGCTGGGATATCGGCAGGATGTGTTGTAAGTCCTGTCTGGAAACGACTGGGAATTTGTATGTTTAACTTATGTAATAAATAAATGATCAATTATTTCTTTGCCCCGTTTACTCATCCCTTGTCCTCGGTTACATTAACAATAATATAAAATTATGCACAAAAGGAATTACTAACGTAAGAAAAAGTGGTTTTATTTATATATGTTTATATATAAATATATGCGGTGGCCCCTAGAGACAAAACACATACAAACTCCAATACACATTTCTAGCATGAACTGAACTTCCAAAGCAGAGCTATTAGATCACTTAAATTACACAATTGAAAGCATGAAAGCATATGTGTATTGTTTGTGTATTTATACACAGGCACTATTCAAATAATTTAAAAACAATGTTCATTTACCTGTTACTACCACACACCAAATCCGGTCGTTGGTACTTGCTGGCTTGTGTAGCCACTAGGTAACAAAAGCTCAACACTGCACCTAGCATCCTGGAGCACTTCTGTTGTCTTTTGTACGTGTTTTGAGTTTTTACGTGCTTCGGAGTTTGTACGTGTTTTTACGTGTTTTGGAGTTTGTACGTGCATCAGAGTTCGTACGTGATTTGAAGTTTGTACGTGCTTTGTCTGTAGGGGCCACCGTAAATATACTTTTATTTATTCACTCCACATAAAATGTAATAAATAAATCATATAATACAAAAATCTACTATTCACATTTCAACTTTTAACTAATTAAATTTTCAGCTTTTTCCTTTTACAAATTTAAAGTAAAACAACACAATTAAATATAAATTAAAATATGAAAACTAAAAGAACATGCATATTCTCTGTCATATGGACCTGCATGAATAAACTTTCTGAATCCTTTATCATCTGCAACTGAAAATAGTTGTGGATGATTACTATACCTTTCTAATGTGACATTGTTGTCCCTGGCTCTCTTTCTCTCCCTCTGGCTCTGTTCCTGTGCTGAGTGTAACTACCGCCCCTCCCCCCTCTTCCCAGCGTAAAGCACACAGCTCGCGTGCGGAGTGAAGCGAAAAAAAGTGCGAGAGAGAGGTTGAGAGAAAGGGGGGGAAAAAACGTGATGGCTCGCGATAAGGAGCCGGCTCGCGTCGTTCACGTCAAAGAGGCGGCTCTAAGAGCCATTTCGTTTACGAACGACCCATCACTATTGACCAGGTACCAAAGCAAATCATTCCTACCGTACAAATAATGTAAATATGACGGTGCATCACGAAAGATTGATATCAAATTGATCACTTGACCAATATTACGTTACTTGCTCTTCAAGTGAATCAACAAATGGCGAAATGAAAAGCCGAACAAATGCTATTTTTTTTAGAGAGTCTTAGCTTACGTGTGTTTATTTCATATTTTCAGTTCTTACCCTCCCCGACTAAATCGGTTTCAGTTATGTACTGAAATATAAGAATGGACATTAGAGGCTTCTTTCAAAGAAAAAACTCAGGTAAATGTTATTTTATATATTATGCTTTGTATGTTGTTCAGTATATTTCTATGCAAAACAAGAGGGATTTCAGTACACAGCAGGATATTCACATTTGTAACCAGATATTTACATACACTTTAGGGAGAAAACATAAAACATTTTTACTGTACAACATCAATTTAGAGTAAACTTTTGCTTTAGATAAATATTGAAATATAATTTTGAATTAGTTAAATGTCAGAATAAAGAGAGAGAGATCTGTCTATTTATTATCACTTTCATCAAATTTAGGAGCACATGTACACTAAGTTTATTGTTAATTAATAAGAAAACTCCAGAGGATTCCATTGTGAGCTGAAGAAGCTTCTGATAGGTTAGTAGAGTCCATGTGAGTAAATTGGTGGCACACCTGTGGATGCATATAAGGCAAAACACAGAGCCTGTTTCTGTAACATGGGAAAATCAAGAGATGTCAACCAAAACACCAGGAAAAGAACTGTGGAGCTCCATAAGTGTGGCTCAAGTTTGAATACAATTTGGTGCCATTTGCAATTAAGAAATACAGATAGTTTCTCTCTTTACTCTTAAAGTTAACAAATATGTTTTTTATATTTATCAATCTAAAAAAATAAACATTTAGTCTGATTTGATGTTGCAATTAAAAAAGTGTTTGTGTTTTGATCTGAAGAGTTTGTAAATATCTGTATATTTGATGATTGTCAGCACAAAGAGGGAGAGAGAGGAACAGAGAGGGAACAAGAGCAGGTGAGACACACATGTTAGTCAAATGGTCGTTTAGCAAAAGTATCACCGTATCATAGGTACTCATGTATCTCGTACCTAGTGTTTCTTTTTAGGTTTGTTATTTTTCAGATTCTATATTTATTAAGTTATGCAGGCTTGTTTGCACAACAAGGCTAAATAATAATATAAACTTTTCTCAATCTAAATAGTGGACATTGGTAGAATTAAAAATAAGTGTAGTGCAGGTCTATGATGATTTTTAGTGCTACTATCATCTAGTTCTGATTCTGGTTCTGTCTTGGTTAAGTCCCAAGTAGTCCTGATTTTGAACTGTTGTAGTCCTGTTTTAATTCTGGATCAGTTCTGGGTCTGGTTGAATTGGGGTTTAGTCCTCGTGTCCTGATACAGCCCTGACCTTGTTCTTCCTTGCTGCTTAATTAAAAAACTAGTTTCAGGTGTCCTGCACATGTGATATATATCTTTCCCTATATGAAGTCATTCTTTTTTGAACAAAACTCAAAACAGAGCCAATTAATCTTTCAGTCATTTCTACCCCGCCCAAAAAAAAATAAAAAAATCCCACATGCATACCACCCTTTTGGGCTAAGCCCCGGGTGTTTCAAATGTCTGGCTCCGCCTCTGTTTATATATATATATACATATATATATAGAGAGAGAGAGATAATAAAATTATATATGTATATATATTTATATATTTATATATACATACATACATACATACATACATACATATAAAATTGTATTTTCTTAAGTAATTAGGCTCGTAAATGAATTTCCTCAGTGACCTGAACTTTCACACCCAAATGAGACAAAAGGGTTTAGTTTGCCCTGCGCTCTTGACTGTTACATAAGCACCCTAATTTATTCTATCTAGATCTAGATGACTGCTAATGTGCGCTCTGAGTCTTTCAACCAAGAATGCAAAATCAAAGAACCAAAACAAAAAAAAAGAAAGTCAGGTGTTAATAAATTTCTTTAAAAAAAAATTAAAAAGGTGAGCAGCAGAGCACAACTAACAGGTTTTGCTACCAGTAGTTATTAAAGACAATGAGCCATGTCACATGTGGCATTATATCTATATGAGAATGACCCAGCACAAATTAACACCATGAAGTGCAGAATCAACAGAAAGCTTGGAAACTTAGGAACAATAACTTCAAGCAGCATTAAACTTTACGTTGGTGTTTCTTTAACTGCTCTGAGGCAAGCACAGCTTTTTAAGGAAGCCAGACTGTTTCAGGCTGATGAAATTCTATCATGCTAAAATACCACAAGTAAAACTCATTTAACCATAAAGACACTACAGTATGTTGAGAAAAAAGGGATGAAGCATGAGAAAATGTGCGTATGATTTTTATTAATCGTAGTATAGGAACTAGCCACTGCAGATTGTTGTGTTCAACTGTCTGCTCAGTTATTTGTTAAAAAATATAATAACACCACCCGTTACTACAAAAACATTTAATCAAGATTTTCCTAGATGCTTCATGGTAGTAGGCTATACAGAAAAGCAAAGTGCAGGACTGTCCACTGTTCTATTTCCAGCACACCTGTAATGTGACTTGCATTTCCTCAGTGGGAAAATAATGCAAACATTTAGTGTTCAGACACATGATTGGTCAACAGCATCTTGTTGCTGGTCATAGTTCAGAGATCACAAATGTGAGTCTTCTGTTGTCAGATGGATTAAAAATAATTAATGTGGACAATATATAATCTCTGGAATGAGAGGATTATTTATTAAATATTTTTTTATTCCTGCTATTACACATTTAAAGGGAACAAATATGGTCAACGACTGAAATTAAACCAGAATATCAAGCTGTAAATCAACCTATTACCAATTATTCTTACTCTTATTCTCTTATTCTTGCTCTTAATTAATTGCTATTATAAAAAATAGCAATAAAAACTACATCTGCACTACAGATTCTAGGGCTTTCTATCTAAACCTGTGAAAGAGGGGTACATCCCATATGTCTCATAGGAAGGTGGTGGAGCAGAAGGTTCAGGGGCAGCTGGATTTTGTAGAAAGCTCATCCCTCCTGACATGTAAGGATTTGGAAATTGGTCAAATTCACTGGTCAAAAAGTCAGATGACTGCTGATTATCAGACCCCTCTAAAGCAGGCAGGATGACTATGTGGAACTTGACTTCTGGGTCTGAAGCATACTTCACATCCAGATAGACCTGTGGTGGAAAAAGAGTCAACATTACCATGCAACCCCATTGATGCAGAACAACATAAAAGTGAAGATAGATAGGCTTACCCACCCGGAGTCTATACTCTACTTTGATGATGTTGCAGTTTAGGATTGAGGTGGTCACGGTGGAAGGTACGGTGATGATCCTGGTGACAGTCTGACCTGCCGAGTGTGGGATGGCTTCACCCTCCTCCTTCAGGATGTCTTTTGTTTCAACTTTCCTTTTCTTATTTGCAAAGTAGCTGTATTTCCTGTACAGACAGTACTTGGGCTTAATGTCACGAGAGGACTTGTTCTGAATTGAAGCCATGACCCTTATGCCTTCTCCTGGAAAAACAACAAGAACAGGTTATACATGAGCATTACGCTCTGTTTGCCATGAATTTACAAATAATCAAAAAACTGGTTACAGAAATATGAAACTTTTAAGTTGCGAGTGTCACTATTACAAAATCAATGACTTGCATTAATTCCGCACAGAAGACAAATGCATTTAATTATATGAGTTTAAAGTTTGACAGCAGTACTACAAGGAGAGGACGGTTTGAGGTCATGTACCAAGATTACATTTGGACATTTCCTGGTATGCGTTTAGGAGTGAAGTATTTACATCACATTTAGTTCCCAGTCTTTACTTCCATGGCCTGTGACCTACATTAGATATCATCTTATCTTTAGACCATAAATGTGTTCCATGAGCAAATTGACCTTGAGCTGCACATGTTTCAGCTATAGATGAATTTCAATGTGTTCTATTGCCATTTTCTACTGTAATCCACTATTAGAATGATGTGCAGATTGACTGTGTGGTTCAGTAATGGTTTAAATTACCTTGGCAGAAGCCTGTTTTTGCAATGCTTACATCCATTGGCCACAGATCCCGTTGAGAAGAGCTTCATTTTCTTATCAATGATATTTTGCTGTGGGCTCTAACATAAAAAAAGGGTGAATTTTAGAAAATCTGTGTGTGCATGTGTGTATTTGTTCAACAACAATGTAAGGGTACCATCATCACTGGATCATGGTTTGTCTTGTGGATGAGGGTAAACTCTGCCTTCGCTTTGCTGTCCATTCTCATCGACCGGTTCAGATTTGCCTCGACTGTGTACAAAATCTTTCCACATGAGCCCTTGAAGGAGGACGGCAGGTCTCTGTAAGATGTGGCAACAAAAGGTGCAATGAAACTTAAATGAAAGGATATTGTTACAGAAAATAAAGAAACATGTTTGAATATGTTTATATGGAACACCAATGGAAATAATTTTGTTCAGAAGAAAACTCACTGCACTGGAATCTGAAAGGTGAATGGGTATACATGGCAGCCAGGGGAAAGATCATTTTTGCCTAAGGAACAATGAATTAGTCAGATAGCATGTTTTTTTTTATGTCTGATTAAAGGAAGGTTTGTAAATTTGTCTCTGTGACTGTTTTTAGAAGGGCTGTTCATTGAAATAGCAGGTTTGCAAATAGTTCTGAAGAAGAGAGAAAATTACAGAAAGAGAAGAGCAGGATAATGTTATTCCTGCTATTATTGCTGCCATCAGCTGGTCAAGATTGTACTAACCTTACTAGTTAAAAGGCATTTTTTGTATAAATGATCATTCAAATAAAAGCTTTTCTGTTAACAGTAGCAGATTAATTAAACATACCACGATTTAAAATGATTACAGCATTGTGCTAAATTGAAAGACATTAGCTTACCCATAGATTCCTGAATGACAAACTGCTTGATGCTGAAGTACTTCTCTTTGCTTTGGTAAGTCACAATAGTTTTCCCATAATTTTCAGTCCATGACACTTGAGCTTTTCCCTTCAGCTTTACAAAGAGTGACTGTACTTCACACTCATTAGTTAATTCAAATGTAACTTGTCCCATGAGATAATCACCACTACTGAAAGTGTTGCTTTTGTTTAGGGGATTGTATCCCACTGTAAAGTTCTTAACACTACTTGACATAGTACACTGTTCAAAGCTGCAAGTACAGTAAATGCCAGATAAGCATGAGGAGAGAGGTTTTATGTGTCATGAGGAGGGTTTGTAGGTGCAAGTACACAGAGTTTTGATAATAATTAAACCACAGGGCCCTAAAATATTCATGTTTATTGATAAGAAACATTGTAAATGTCTGCTAGAGTAATTAAATCTTGTGTAAATAAAATGTGTAGGCATGGTTCTTCTATAAATGAAATTATGAAACACTAACCTCGTACTAGTGTGTGTAGGCGCAAATAGCATTATGGACAATAAGGTGTGACTTGCATGGATCATGGAGTTAAACATGTGGTTAAACACTGGAAATGTTGAGTGTTTACTTAAAGGAGAGTGCATCCATATACCAGTGTGTCTAAAGGTAAAGTTACATAAAAAGTCCTCATTATTCTGTGGTCGTAGCCCATTGGCCAAATCTGGCCCATTGTGTTCTCATGCACACCTGTTGGCCAGTCAGGTTTCTATTCATTAGCCACTCCAGCTACAAGGCTCAGACTCCGTGACTTGTTGCCTTTTTTTGGAAGCCCCGCACAGCTCATATCTCAAGTTTTGACACATTCGTTTGTTTTGTTTTTTTATTGAAGTGTTATACACCAGGTCTGAGTTTGTATCTGGCACAGATGTGGTGCTGCTGTTAGCAAAGTCTGTCCGGACACAGTCGTATGAAGACATCCCAGAGCAGAGCTTCAAAGTGTTTGGTTAAAGGAGTGCATTTGTAAAAGCCTTTTTTAGTCTTATCCATCACTCAAAGGATTTCATAATACATATACCTGTTTACATACACATTTCTTTTACATGCACATTTTTTTTATTCCACACTGGTAATACACTAGGGCCCATTTGTGGGGCTCAGTATATTTGCTGTGGACATGTGGATGTCTCAGAAACAATCTCAGCATTAGGATTATTGTTATGGGCTATTTATCAGTTTCCCATAAACAGTACTTGAAGAACAGTACAAACACATTTTTTCTTAAACCTCAATACCCATCAGCATCAATATACCGCAGCATATAAAGTGAAATTTATAAATCCATATATTTAGAACAAATTAGCTCTGTGTATTAATGCTGTAGACCAAATAAAAGGATTACTTCAATAGTACCTTTCAAGATAAACATCACACAGTGCTTCCCAACAAAACATTAGATCACAAAAAAAAAGCTCAAATAAGCCTGACTACATCTTTTTTAAAACTTAAAACGAACTAATATTAAAAATATTATAATTATAATTAAATATATTCAATGAGTGTATTTTATGGATTCACAGAATCTGCTCCTGCTGGCCCTGTTCTACTCTACAGCAATAAAGATATTTATGCACTGAGTGGCAAAGATTTGATATTTAAAAATCCATCTGTTAAAAATGTATCAAAATACGCCTCGGTCATGGAAATCTTCTATCATCACACTGATAAAATAAATGAAAATATACATTTTCTCTGAGGCACTAAGTAATGTCTGGAATAAATGTTTTTATAAGTGGCTATATACAGTGATTTTTTTATAGATTTCATATCATCTCTGTAACACATCGTGTTACTTCCTTGAGCTATTCAGAATATTTAAATCAGAATCAAAAATAAAAAGAGCCCAGTACCCTCCAAATCTGTAGCCGAGCTTCTAGGACTTTCTGTCTGAACTGTTCAGGGAGGGGTACATGTCATATGTCTCACAGGAAGGTGGTAAGCCATCAACTCCAGGGGCAGCTGGATTTTGTAGAAAGCTTGTCCCTTCTGGAAAGTCAGAGTTTGGAGATGCTTCAAATCCACTGGCTGAATAGTCAGATGACTGCTGCTTATCAGACCCCTCTAAAGCAGGCAGGATGATTATGGGGAACTTGATCTCTGGGTCTGAAGCATACTTCACATCCAGATGGACCTAGAAAGAGTCAGTGCTTATTAGACTCGTAATGCATACTTGATTAAATAAAGATATTAACAAGGCCTGGGAAATACTTTCAGGAAGATGAAATAGGCCTATTCACCCGGAGTCTGTTCTCTAATTTGATGATGTTGCAGTTTAGGACTGAGGCGGTCTCGGTGGAAGGGACGGTGATGATCTTGGTGACTGTCTGGTGACTGACTGTGGGATGGCTTCACCCTCCTCTTTCAGGATGTCTTTTGTTTCAAGTTTCCTTTTCTTATTTGCAAAGTAGCTGTTCTTTCTGTAGAGACAGTACTTGAGTTTAATGTCACGAGAGGATTTGTTCTGAACTGAAGCCATGACCTTTATGTCTTCTCCTGGAAAAACAACAACATCAGGTTAAAGTTCTGTCCTACAATATAATTACATTGATGTTATGCTGCATACAAAGCTGTGGAGCTGTGGATTTCAGTACTGCAAACTTTTAAGAGTTTAAGCTGTGTCATCATCTGTTTGATCTTTGCAGGAATGAGTTCGCAAAGGTTTTAAGATTTTCTATATTTCTGCAAAAATATAACACATTTCACATTTAACCAACATGTGCACTACATGCCTTATCTGTCATCATAGTCTATCCTCAGTCATAAAAAGATTCCCTGTGGAGTGAATGTATATTTCAGTAATGTGAGATTGCGAGCAAGTCATAATTACCTTGGAGGAAGGCTGTTTTTGGAATGCTTACATCCATGGCCACTGATCCTGATGTGAAGAGGTTCATCTTCTTATCAGTCATATTTTGCTGCAGAGTCTGAGAAGAAAATCACAATTTATGTACATGCAGTGTTAATTCAGGAGTGTAACATATAGCAGTTTGTAAGGGTACCATAAGCTCTCCATCAAGGTTTCCTTTGTGGATGAGAGTGAACTCTGCCTTTGCTTTGCTATCTTTTCTCACTGAGTGGCTCAGATTTGCCTCCAATCTATACAGTGGGGCAAAAAAGTATTTAGTCAGCCACCGATTGTGCAAGTTCCCCCACCTAAAATGATGACAGAGGTCAGTAATTTGCACCAGAGGTACACGTCAACTGTGAGAGACAGAATGTGAAAAAAAAAATCCATGAATTCACATGGTAGGATTTGTAAAGAATTTATTCGTAAATCAGGGTGGAAAATAAGTATTTGGTCAATAACAAAAATACAACTCAATACTTTGTAACATAACCTTTGTTGGCAATAACAGAGGTCAAACGTTTACTATAGGTCTTTACCAGGTTTGCACACACAGTAGCTGGTATTTTGGCCCATTCCTCCATGCAGATCTTCTCGAGAGCAGTGATGTTTTGGGGTTGTTGCCGAGCAACACGGACTTTCAACTCCCGCCACAGATTTTCTATGGGGTTGAGGTCTGGAGACTGGCTAGGCCACTCCAGGACTTTCAAATGCTTCTTACGGAGCCACTCCTTTGTTGCCCGGGCGGTGTGTTTTGGATCATTGTCATGTTGGAAGACCCAGCCTCGTTTCATCTTCAAAGTTCTCACTGATGGAAGGAGGTTTTGGCTCAAAATCTCACGATACATGGCCCCATTCATTCTGTCCTTAACACGGATCAGTCGTCCTGTCCCCTTGGCAGAAAAACAGCCCCATAGCATGATGTTTCCACCCCCATGCTTCACAGTAGGTATGGTGTTCTTGGGATGCAACTCAGTATTCTTCTTCCTCCAAACACGACGAGTTGAGTTTATACCAAAAAGTTCTACTTTGGGTTCATCTGACCACATGACATTCTCCCAATCCTCTGCTGTATCATCCATGTGCTCTCTGGCAAACTTCAGACGGGCCTGGACATGCACTGGCTTCAGCAGCGGAACACGTCTGGCACTGCGGGATTTGATTCCCTGCCGTTGTAGTGTGTTACTGATGGTGACCTTTGTTACTTTGGTCCCAGCTCTCTGCAGGTCATTCACCAGGTCCCCCCGTGTGGTTCTGGGATCTTTGCTCACCGTTCTCATGATCATTTTGACCCCACGGGATGAGATCTTGCGTGGAGCCCCAGATCGAGGGAG